TTCATTTTTTCTTCTTCTTTTACCTTGATTTCTATACAACTTCAAATTGTACCGGTAAGAAATCGACAATCCCATAATATTGTGTTGATAGCAAATATGACTCTGCCTGTGTTTTTTTTGGTGGGGGGAAGGGTTAAAGTCACTATATTGCATACTCTTCTCGTATCGGCGGTCATTATGCAATTTACGTAATGATTCACGCATCTTGGAACAGGCTACTGATGGCGAATACTTATCTCTATGACGTAACTAACAATGCTGAGAACGTATGGCTATTCAAGCAGAGAGTGAGCAGGAAACGTATCGTATTATGAACTTTTGAATTGTCGTGGAATGTCGAATGACCTCAATATAACCTGCACGGCATATCTTAAGAATTAAATAAGATAGATTCACAGAAAAAAGTCTTATTTTATACTAAGATCAACCTAAGCAAATAGAACAATATTAAGGAAGAGAACCTTCGATTTATGCAGGCCAAGAGAGGTGGCAAAGATATCCTTTTTCATGAGAGTTTTGATGCGACATTAGACTTCGAAAATTGGATGATCATTACAGCAAGATCTCTTAGGAAAGGATAATTTGCCCTATGGTTTGAACCAATATAAACGTCAAACTCTCAAAGATAAAACTCATAGACATGTTGTTTCCCTTTTCAGGTACAAGTCATACTAATAATCTTATTGGCTAGAGCTTTAGTCACCTATCGTAAGTCCGATAAAACGGAAGAAAATGAGTACAAGAAAAGCATTATCAAGTGAGGCTTTTCAGAAATATTTTACAAGTATTTGATTACCTTGACAATCTTGTGCTATATATATTTCCTAGTGGAAACCAGTCGTTGATGTCAACTATCATCTGTTAACCTGTTTAGTGTAGAAAGGCATCCAGAAACCAATCAATATGTCCAACTAATATTCTCATTTGTGACAAAACTTGAGCAAATCTTCAAACAGCTTTTACCTTATCGTTACTCATCCATTGCACACTTATTAAAAGCAGTACTGTACATTTGACATCTTCAACAGGTCTGGAATTCAAACTGTGGTTTGCATAACCATCTCAGTTGTTCTAACTTGGCTTCTGGGGTCATTGTCTTTGAACATCGATCGAGATGTCTATCACACCTTTTTCTCCATATTCAACGCAATGCAGGTAAGAGATTTGTACACACGAAAAATTAAATACTTGCCAATTTTTGATGAACGTAAGCCGGATATTTCATTCAAACATCCTAAACAAAGTAGTTCACACAGGCTTATTGCGGCCACACGCCGAGTCTCATTACTAATGTAAATTTAGTATCACAAATCGTAAAGGTTATTTTACTGCTGTATTCTTTTGTTATGAAATGGTAAGCAGAACATGACACAATTAGTTGAAAGCTTACTCAAAAGGCGAGCTTCATAATAAGAGGAAAAAAAAATGTGACTCAGATCCCAAAATTATTTAAAGGACACTTCCTATCTGTTCTGTCAACAGGGAGTTGCTTTCTTCCTGTTTTACGTTCTCTTAAATGCAGAAGTCCGCCAACTAATACTTTCTACTTGGGAATGGAAGAACTCTTCTGCAGTAACGCCATTTGATGATCATGAGGCCATTGAAATCGAAGAAGAAAAGGTATGTTGTAAGCATGTGGTGTGACTGAGTAGTTTTCATCGTTGAATTTGAAACCTGGTGGTTCCATGCAGACTGATTCACTCACTCTTCCATGGAACTGTGTCTTTTTTTTTAACACAGGAAAAAGATAAAAAGAAAGGAAAAAACAAACCAGCGGGCAAAGAAAACAGTGCCCAAGACGGAAAACAAAAGAGACTGGAGAACAAACCAAATGAGGCTGCTATGAGTACCATACAGATGGTGACCGAAGCAGCCTCCGAGAGTAAAAGTAAGAACAAAGGAAATTCTTCGGATACCAAGCCAGATGTTCAGGGTAAAACACGAAAATATGAGGGTATGGTTTGTGTAACTGTTGAGAGATCACCCAGAAAGTTGCCCCCTATAGAGCCAAACAAGAAGACCACTACGACGTCAAAAGCGACAGAGCCAAAACGAAAGGAAGCACCCAAAACAACCCCAAAGGTAAGAAGCGTATCTCCTATTCGTTTTGGCCTATGCGTGTTTTAGGGTAACCTACTTTACGGCATAGGAGTCAGTTGTTATTTTCATTTCAGTGATTCACTTATTTTCATCAAAAACAAACTGCTAGAGAAGTCCG